GGTGCGGATTCAGGACCATGTGAGCCAACGATCAGATTTTTTAGATCAACCGTTGGCTCAATCTCACCGTTGAGATTTCACATCAAAATTTTAAGTTTACTCACTCTCTTCATCTCTTGCTATATTATTTAATTTCAGAACCAGTTCTCGATAAATCATTATAAATTATCTAGATAATACTCTCTCATATTATAAATCTCTAGATAATACTTTTTAATTTCAATCATTTTCACCACTCGATTTGTTTTATAAATTATATTTAAGTTATAAAATGTCGAGTGTTTGTGATCGTGGACTTGGAGGACGACCATGAAATCGCAAAAAAATGTAGCATATACGAGTGGTCAACCTCCATTGCTGAAGACGATGATATACCCGGATGTTTCGAATACCCAATGTCATGGAGCCCGTGGAGGCCCCATGCGTCTTAAGTCTATTGAAAATCCACGAGAGCTTACAGTTAGAGGACGAGGACCTGGAGTGGGGCGACGATTACGATCCTATGCAAGGTCAACCTTGACGGATAGACGTCAGACCCGGGGTTGGGGGTCGACAGTTGGCACCCGACATATTCACAAGGCATTCCGAAGGTGCATGATAAAAAAAAATAAAATAAAAAATGACAAACATTTCATAATGTTTGCAACAATTGTCCGCCCAAAGTTAGGAAGAAGTACGCTTTCAAAACCGACAATGGGTACAGAACCATGCACGACACGTACAGACCTATCATCCGTTCGAAATGGGGATTCCCACGATCCAAACACAAATTCCTAGTTGTAGCACTGTATTTGTGGCTCGAACAAGTACTTCTTTTTTATATCAAAGGTCTTATGAAAACCATGGACGTAATCTTACTGAATTTGTTTTTGCTTCATTTCTTCCTTTCGATTTGGTGATTATGACTTATATGAAAATTTTTCTAAAATGACTCTAAACATGGTTGCATCTGGAGTACCACATACTACTCTCACTCTCAATATTCAAACTAAGTGGGTGAGAAAATTATAATTTTGATGCAAACTTTTAAAAATTTAAACCAAATAGTTTATATTAATTTGTTGTGACATATGGTCTGAATATGATCATTGGCACGATAATCATTATATAAGATTACTTGTCATTGAGTAGATAATAGTTTTACATTCAGAAACGTTTAATTGCTTACACTGATTTAATAACTCTCACACTGCTAGCAATATCATTTGTTTAATTGCACGTGTATTTAATACCTATAGAAGTGGTAAAAAACTTTTTTCCATTTATTTTGATAATGCTAATACTAATACTGTGTCTTTGAATGGGCTTGGAGAAATTTGCCGTCTTCTTTTGTAATGAAAAGTTTTTTATATTCGATATATGTGTCATGTCCTTAAGATTAGTGTTCAATCGGGTTGTAATGCTTTGAAAGAGTCGGTCACGCCCAATAGGGAAACTGTTATGTACTTGCACCGTCGTACTCAAGAAATAAAGAAATGAGGAAAACATTGTAAAGTTTATGATGTTGTACCCAAAAAAACTACAATCGAACGTTCTTATCCGGTGGAACTCAACTTTTAAAATTTAACAAAATGTGTGAATTTGCCCATCAATTAGAGACTTTTTCCAAGCGCCATGAGCGTCGTGATTGCAATAGCACTCTTATTACGAATAATTGGGAGAATTGTAAAACACTTATGGATTTTTTATAAACACTTCAAACTGCTACTCACATATTTTCTGATGTTTACTATCCTATCTCAATGTGAAGCCATAATATGGGAATTTAGAGATATTTTTGCTAGTGATCCTGACAAACATGGCGACATTGTACGTGATGTTAAAAAAATAGTTGAAATATTATTTTTATATTTTTGATACATTTATAGTTGCGTATTTGTTAGATCCGCACTACGTCAAAATGGTTTGCTCAACTAACTCTACACTTATTATGAAATTATGTATCACCTTTCACTTCCTTTTGATGATATTCATTTAACTGAAAGACCTAACCCACTACTTCTCGTCGAGCAATCAAAAGTTTTATTGTATGACTTGTTTAAGGAAACATCAATTGGGCTCGAGGAAAATTCGATGTCATTTTCTTCTTATGTTTTTAGTTCTTTTTCTTATTCATATTATCGACAAACGACACAATATATAGGCTCAAACTTTGCTAATTAAGCTTCCAATTACAATCCCTACAAGAATGCTACAAGAAATATGTGATGAACTCGATCACTGATCTCAACTTATGATTGTCAGACCACCAATTTCGCGTCTCGCATTCGATGCATCGGACTGGTGGTAAAAGATAAATGTCACATCTCATGTTCCATGCTTGATGGTCAAGGATATTTTTTTTTTGTCCCGACCTCAACTGTGGCTGTTGAACAATTATTGAGTGAGATAAGCTATATACTCGATGCATGACGGTCGATGTTGAGGCTAAAAAACTTGGAGGCTCAAATGTTGTTGAGTTATTGGAAGAAGGTCGAATGAAGAAAAAAAACGGTCATACTAACTACCAAAGAGGATGGAAAAGAGCTGGATGATTTTTATAGTACTAGTGAAACAGCCAAAACCGAAGTCGACGACTACGACTACGATTACTAGATCATTCAATGCATCCTGCCATCTTCTTTCATCAAGGTAACTAGTAAGGTAAGCAAACTACGAGGACTTTGATTCTTAAGGTAAGGGATACATAAACATCTTAATTAACATATTATAATTTATAAATTATAATATCATTTTTGACTAATAATATTTCAATTTAATTGATATTTAAACTATAATGTCCACTAAGCCCCAAGCGAGCCAGCCAAAGCCAGCGGACGGTTTTGACTTGGGAACCACCGGTTTCTTGAACCGATATGTACATATGTCCAGACCGGTTCTGGTTCACATAAAATGCGAACCTGAACCGACCGTTCTGAACCGAAACTGGCCTGTGGCCATGTCTTACCCACGGGAACAGTTTTAGGAGAGCTTTTTGGAGTTTTAGAAACTTTTGGAGGCTTAAACATGCTCAAAACGAGTGAGAAAGCCGAGAAGAAGAGATCGACGAAGTCGAATAAGTTTTTTTCTTTCATTCTCTTTCTATTTTCGAGCTCAATATTTTTTATTTATTTTTTAATTTTTGGAAGCATGTTTCTAGGTTAAATTTATCTTATATTGTAGAATTCATCAGTACTCGTATTGATTTATGATATAATTTGTAGATTCATTTCGGTTTTTCTTCCGTGTATGAATTCTTATACTTATTTTTATTGTATGAGTAGATGACCACTATGAATTCCTGTTCGTGATTGATTTGAGACCGACATGAGATAATTGATAGCTAGATTGAGAAATTTATAACATATGAGAATAAACAAACTAGGAGGTTGATAGGATCTTACAAAAGAAAAAAATTAGGAACTTATGGAGTTATTTGTTCACATTAAGAGCGAGAGGAAGTAGATAGCAATCAATGTATGATTTAACTTGTTCAAGAGAAAAAAGTTAAATTTATTAGTGATTATCTTTATAATTGGTAAAACTAAGGTTTTAATGAATTTGAACGTTTCATGAATTAATTCAGATAAAAGCATAACCTAGAATATACCTTTTATATCTTGTTTTATTTCATTTTTCTTAGATAAATTAGATCTTAGCTTAATTGATTAATTTACAATTATCATTCAAATTCTTTAGTCTAGATAATATTTAGTTATCATTATTATATAATTTAATTAATTTAACTATAATCTATGCGGATTACGAACTTACTCACCATTATCTATAAGGCCGTACACATGCAGATGATGAAAATAATTGGCGAACAATATACTCATTCATTTTGTCATCAATCTTATCAACACTGTTTAATAAAAAAATAAATCGTTATACACATTTCCGAATAAAAATTCACTATGTAATTGCTTAAATATATTTAACTACAGTTTACCTTCACTATTTAATATTTTTTCTATTCCGTATCCGTTCCAATTTTATAAATATTTAGTCTTCCATGGATATATATATATTTTACTTTTTAACTCGCTCATTATTTTTTTCATTTACATAATTTTATTTCAAAAAAACTTATATCCAATCACTACACCTTAAATTCGTCTCCCCCAATTTCAAAAAACAAAAACCCTAGCTTTATTCGCTGTCTGTCTTCCCGTCGGGGCCACCGGACCCTTCAACAGTGGCTGGTTCCTGGCTTACGACGTGACTGCGGTTTGATTCTGGGGCCCATCTTCTCGAGCGATGAGTCGGTCGGCGTTCCCGGGTGGTCCTCGGCTCCTTTGGATGCCATCCCGAGACGAAGACCGCCGGTTTCCATGGAGGCGAGATGGAGGAGGGCTGCGGTGTTGTGTCGAGGGCGGGTTGTGGCTTCGTTTGTCGAGTAGGTGGACGGGGCGGAGGTCGGTGGCTGCCTCTCCTTGTTCTTCTCTCCCCTAATTTTAGGGAGGAAGGATCTGACATCGCGCCGGGCCTGGTTGTGGTGTTGGCTGGGAACGGGGTGGTGGTGTATGGTGTGGGTAGGGTGGTCGATTGATCTCCGGCTGAGGGGCTGTGGTCTGCTGCCAGAGAATGGGCTGGGGTCGTGGGTTTTGATTCTAATTAGGCCGAGTGTTGCAGTTTCTGAAGTTGGAATTGGGCCGTGGTCCGGTCTTTTCGGTTGTCGATTGTGGTGTTACCGTTGAGGCTCGTCTGGTGTGTTAGTCCGATTGAGGGAAGGGCTCTTTTCTTTATTATTTTGTGTGTTTTGGGTTTGTGTGCTTGTGATTTTCTGTATTTCTTTGTGTTTTTTTTCTTTTTATTATCTCTTTGGGATCTAGATTCTCTTGTTAGGAGTAGGTGTTATTATTTTTCTGGGATCTAGATTCTCCTGTTAGGAATTAATTTTTTATTTTTATCATGAGTGCGTTGTGGTGTTTAGACTCCCCTAGGATGTCTTCTCACTAGATTCGGCCTTTGACTGTCTTCTAATTGTAATTATGTGTGTTATTTATAAAATTCCTATTGTTTCGGAAAAAAAGAAAAAAAAAATTCACAACACCTTAGTTGTCCCATGACGATAAAATTCATTATTTTAAATTCACAACACCTTAGTTGTCCCATGACGATAAAATTCATTATTTACTTCATCAATCATCAATGTTATCCATCAAACACAAATCTTTTTATGTTGATGCAACTTCAAAAATTGTCTTGTTCCACACCACAAACTTCCACTTCCACCAACCCCGTGAAGGAGATGAACTAGGCCTCCCGATCGACAAGGTCAAACAAATCATCAACGGCTCAGATCTATCCATAACTAACACCTTTGACCTTTGCCATGAGGTGTGTTTTTCCACATACTCTTTGTATGAGGTAGTTTTTGCTTCAGACTGGTGGACCATATTACTCTATTAAGAAAAATGTATATTTTTTTATGTTATACTTCTAATTATGACATTAAAAGAAATAAACATATTTAAAAAATATCTATCTATCTATATATTCCCATTATTTCTTTTTAGATGTCGTTTTAATTTAAAACTTCTAAATTATGATTTTCATGGGATGTGTAATAATCTTATATATTAATCTTCATAAATTTAGTGTTTGAATTATTAATGGTTGGTTTTTAAAGATAATGATAAGAAATAAAGTTTGTTAAAGAGAATAACGTTGAAAGAATGAATTAAATATTTCCATCGACAACTAATTTGCAAAAATGTTGACATCCTACAACGACATGTATGAAGAAACAGAGGGAGTATATAATTGTTGGCAAAAATTTTATGACAATTATTTTTGTCTTACTGCTCTTTATTTTATTCATACAATTATATTATTGATTTATTTTATTATAACAGTCACTACTAACTAATCATAAAATAATATTAAATGATATATTTTCTAAGTTTTTTTAAAATTATTTTTTCAACTCATGAACAATTTTTTACTAATATATATCAATAAGTTATTTTTTTATGGTATGACTAAACCCTTTAAAATTCCGTCCACAATTGTTATAATAATTATAATTTTAATATTAAGTTATTTAATATATTGGTCATCGATCAAGATTGCAAAAATAATGTCATTGTAATTAATATAAAGATTAATATTTAACTTAAATAATTCATATTTATATAATTCATTTATATTAATGATCATCAGATATAATATGTTGATTATTTAGCTTATGAGTAGTTCGGTCTAACACTTCACTACCTATCGTTTTTACTTTTTAGCCGCCACCCTTCTTTTGGCTTTTTAGAATACTCCACCTACTAAATTATATACATACACCTTTATCATCAGACTCATCATCTCTATTTTTGCCACTCCCCTTTTCTATTTAATGCCCACGAAATTACATCTAAAAATAAGAAAATTAACACAATATTTGAATAATTTGAAAAAAAAAAAATTCCTATCTCAATGGCGGCGGCGACAGAGAACGGGTTGTGCGCGGATCCGCTGAACTGGGCGGCGGCGGCGGCAGCTTTGGCGGGGAGCCACCTCGACGAGGTGCGGCGGATGGTGGCGGAGTTTCGGAGGCCGATGGTGAGGCTGGGCGGGGAGAGCCTGACGATAGCGCAGGTGGCGGCGGTCGCCGGCGGCGGCGCGGTGGTGGAGCTGGCGGAGGCGGCGGAGGCTGGGGTGAGGGCCAGTAGCGATTGGGTTATGGAGAGCTTGGACAAGGGGAGGGATATCTACGGCGTGACCACCGGATTCGGTGCCACGTCACATCGGAGGACCAAGCAAGGCGGCGCTCTGCAGAAGGAGCTCATTAGGTTAAGTGAACTAATTGTCAATTTTTACATTGGGATATATATTTTTTTTAATTTAAATGTGGATATTGGATGTTGTAATTACAAAATCATGTTTCTAATTCATATTTAGTTTAATTGATTTTGCTACGGAGCCAACTCCACAGTGAAGTCAACCTTCTATATACATTAAATATACCTACCATATTAAGAAATAAAATAGAATGAAGAAATAAAATAGAATGATGATTCTGAAATAGGAAATCGGTTCTTGGAACCAAATTTTATTTTAGAATAAAATAAATAAGAAATGTTTGAATTTCTAATGGCCCTATTGACTACAAAAATTATTCGATTTTGACTGACCATATAATTAATATAATTACTATTAAATAGTATCAATCAATTATTCCTACACATTACGTCAATTTTAACTCTTAATTCATTATACATATACTCACATGTTTAGCCTACCGGTCATGTTCAGATACATTTTTCATATTTTTACAAACACATCAATTTTAATCATTACATTTTAAATATTATTTAGATACGAATTTAAAATCTAACTTAACCATCCACTCAATCAACTTTATTCAGAATTAACCCAATTTATCCAATAAATTCAATTAAAATTGGTTTTATTTATATCGAACCCTCTCTAAAATATCGTGCATGTTCTGCTACCAGGGTCCTTAACGCCGGAATATTTGGCCACGGCACAATGGACCCCACGCACACTCTGTCTGCCCCCGCCACACGCGCCGCCATGCTCGTGCGCATCAACACCCTCCTCCAGGGCTACTCCGGCATCCGCTTTGAAATCCTTGATGCCATCACCAAGCTCCTCAATGCCCACGTCACACCCTGTCTCCCTCTCCGCGGCACCATCACTGCCTCCGGCGACCTCGTCCCCTTATCCTACATCGCGGGCCTCCTCATGGGGCGGCCCAACTCTCGCGCCGTCGGCCCTGACGGCCGATCCCTCACCCCTGCCCAGGCCTTCTCCCTCGCCGACATCAACACTGACGACACCTTCTTCAACCTCCGGCCCAAGGAAGGCTTCGCCCTCGTCAACGGGACTGCTGTCGGCTCGGGACTCGCCGCCACCGCTTTGTACGAGGCCAACATCCTCGTCCTTCTTTCCGTGGTGACGTCAGCAATCTTCGCCGAGGTCATGAACGGGAAACCCGAGTTCACCGATCACCTCACCCACAAGCTAAAGCACCACCCGGGCCAAATAGAGGCCGCCGCCATCATGGAACACATCCTTGACGGAAGCTCGTACTCGAAGGCCGCTCAGAAGCTCCACGAAACCGACCTGTTGCAAAAACCGAAACAGGACCGATACGCCCTCCGCACGTCTCCCCAGTGGCTTGGCCCGCAGATCGAGGCCATCCGCATGGCCACAAAGATGATCGAGCGCGAGATCAACTCGGTCAACGACAACCCTTTGATCGACGTAACAAGGAACAAAGCCTTACATGGTGGGAACTTCCAGGGGACCCCAATCGGGGTCTCAATGGACAACGCCAGGCTGGCGGTGGCCGCCATCGGGAAGCTCGTGTTCGCTCAGTTTTCTGAGCTCGTCAACGACTTCTACAACAATGGTCTCCCGTCTAACCTTTCGGGAGGTCGGGACCCAAGTTTGGACTACGGGTTCAAGGGTGCCGAGGTAGCAATGGCAGCGTACTGTTCGGAGCTACAGTTTTTGGCGAACCCTGTCACAAACCATGTTCAAAGTGCCGAGCAACACAACCAGGACGTGAACTCGCTCGGGTTCATCTCGGCGAGGAAGACGGTCGAGGCCTTGGATATATTAAAGCTGATGTCATCGATCTACCTGGTCGCGTTGTGCCAGGCTGTCGACCTGCGACACCTGGAGGAGAATTTGCGGATGGCGGTGAAGAACGCGGTTAGCCAGGTCAGCAAGAAGACACTGACGAGGTTTTGCGAAAAGGACTTGTTGCAGGTCGTGGATCGGGAACAAGTTTTCGCCTACGTGGACGACCCGTGCAGCGGGACCAACCCGCTCGTGCAGAAGCTGAGGCAAGTGCTGGTGGACCACGCGTTGAAGAATGAGGGGACGCCGATTTTCCAGAAGATTCTGGCTTTTGAGGACGAACTTCGGGCCGTGTTGCCAAATGAGGTGGAGGAAGCGCGGGCCTCGGTCGAAAGGGGGAGCCCGATAATCGAGAACCGAGTGACGGAGTGCAGGTCATACCCATTGTACAAGTTTGTAAGGGAGGTGTTGGGGACCGAGTTTTTGACGGGCGAAAGGGAGATTTCGCCCGGGGAGGAGTGTGAGAAGGTTTTTGGGGCCTTGAGTGAGGGGCTAATTGTGGATCCATTGTTGGAGTGTGTTGAGGGCTGGGATGGGAAGCCTCTTCCTATATGCTAAATTGGTGCTATGTGTTTGTGTCTGTTGTATTTTGGTGCTAATTTCTTGTGAGATGTTTGTGTATGTGTGGTTCCATATGTAAGATGAGTGTTACAAAATGTAATAATAAAAGCAAAAATAATGTAAAGAGAATGCAAATATTGCTTCTTGATGTGTGTGTAAGTTGTGGGGTGTTAATGAGAATTTTCTCTTTATCTTGTTGGTTATTTAGAGTTGGAGTTTGAAATTTTGAGGGAGTACAATATTTGCACGTATATAAATAATTATGTAAATTCATATAAATATGTGTGGTTCCGTATGTAAGATGAGTGTTACAAAATGTTGAAAGAAAAAATCAACTTATGTAAGATAATGGAAATGTTTTTTGTGATGTAATGTTGGTGTAGAATGATGTATAAATTATGGTGTGTTTTAATAAGTTGTGGGGTGTCATGAGCATTCACGAGACGATTGGATATAAAATAAAATCGGTTTTGATTGGATTTTGAACTAAAATGAGTTAATTTTAAATAAAGTTGATTGAGTAGAAAACTAAATATGATTTTAAATTTGTATTTAAATAATATTTAAAATATAATAATTAAAGTTTGCTGCGAAAGGGCTTTTTGTTTTGTTTTTCTGAGCTTGTGCAGTAGATTGGTGTTTTGGTTGGGCCTTTGCCTGTGTGTCTATGTACTGTGTTTTTTGTTTGGGCCGTTGGCTCCTGTGAGTCCGAGTGTGACCTTATTATCCTGTTAGGATCCCACACTCGGGCATTACCCTGTTGGAGTCGTTTTATTTTCCTTTTGTTCATTTTATTCTCCCCTTGGGAGCTTTTAGTGTCCGTCGTGTTTTGAGTTTTTTGAGTATTACCCCGTTGGGGTCGGTTCTAGGCGGTCTTTTGACCTGTCCTCCCATTTTATTCAGTCGTTGGCTGTTTGTATTCAGCTGGTGACTGTACTTTTGCACATTTGTGCGTATTTATATAATACCTCTATCGTTTCGAAAAAAAAAATGGTAGATAATCTATTACTATATAATACGGAGAAGAAAAATTATTTGAACAATCCGAAAATAATCATTTCGTTTTCCCGCTTCAATATAGTGTTTTTCCCGCTTCTTCAATTCGTAAAAATTTTTTTTGAATTTTTTCAGCCCATGCAATTAGGTAACCAATCAAATCGAATCTTTTAGCATTCAATTTGGTAAGGTGTTCCCATTTTAGCATTCAAATTCGATTTCACTTCCTTTTTTTATGTCAATCAATCTGATTTTTTTGGTTGTTTCAAAATTTGTTTAGATTTATATTTTTATTTTATTAATATATTTGAAAGAGAATCAATAAATGTTTATCATAACTTTTAATTTAAAAATAAATTTGAATAAGCATACCTTTTACTTTATATGAAATTCAAAATTACATATTTTAATATATTAATAAACGTTTATTATTTATTTTTTCCTTATGTGATATAATAGAATTTCGGTATTAAATTTGTAAATTCAAACATTTAAAGGAAAAGGTTCCAAACAATTTTTTTGGGTAAATTTCATTTTATCTTGGTTTTCATTATCACATTTCTAACAAACTAATTAGTATTATATTTTTTTATCTGCATTATCTAACCGATTTTTTATGATACAATTAATATAATATCTTAACAAATTAATCATTTGTCTAACCGGATTTATCTCTCTAACAAACTTGCCAATTTTTTTAAAATTAAAATGGTATGATTATTTTTATGGAGATACTTATCAATATATTAAATATTTAGAAACTTTTTTAAAAAATGAGTTATCCCTCCTTTTACTTTATTTGAAATTCTGACTTATATTTTTAAATATATTATTATTTATTTTTTTTACATGTAAATATTTATTATTTATTATCTAAGTGATAAATATTATTGATTTATCTCTTTAATAATATTTATTATTTATTTTTTTCCTTACGTGATATAATGTAAATTTGGTTACTAGATTTTTAAATTCAAACATTTAGGAAAAAACCACGAACAAATTTTTTGGTTACATTTCATTTTATTTTAACTTCCATATAATCACAATCCTAACAAACTAATTAGTATAATATTTTTTTACCCATTTTTATATAATCGGATTTCTTAAAATATAATTAATATAACATTTTAACTATTTAATCATTTGTATAACTTGATTTAACTCATTATCGAACGTGCCAATTTTTTTTTTTTTATAAAATTGGAAGATTTTTATTTGTAAAATAATAAAAAATAGCTTTACTGTAAAGTCTGGATTATTTCCATTATTTTTTGTACTTAACAATCATATATTTTGGATTATTGATATAAAAAAACAAATTAAAACCGTAAGGTTTAATAATATTCCTTAAATAAAAAATATTGTATAAAGAAAAGTACTTAATATTATATATTTTTCATTGATTGTATTTATTTTATTTTCATAATAGACGAGATGTGAAAAATATAAATAATTATATTTAAAATAAAGTCTAAAAAATATTTAAAATATGAACTCTTTCGTGCATCGCACGGGATATACACTAGTTTAAAATATTTGGGTAGATGAATAGTGAACTAAAGTTGATGTGATGTGTGAGGATGTTTGACTAGTATTAATTAATATGATTGAGAATGGTTGAATTGAATTAAATATGTGGTAAAGAGTAAAAAATTACTCAATCAGTCAAAAGCGATAGTAATGTGTAGCCAATCGCCTCCTTAGTTTATATGTTCTTGGTTGGTTAGAGCCCATTTGGTTTGAGTGGCTTCGAGAGGAATAGAGGTATAACGTTTAAGATCATCTCCGAAATATCTATTGTACTTAGTGTGGAGCTCACTATACACATTAGAGTAAAGAATGCCAAAAATTAACTTTTGTGTTGATCTAAGTACAATAGATGTTTCGGAGATGATTTTATACGTTATACCTCTGCTCCCTTCGAAGGGCTAAAAGACATAAATAACCACCTATTAAAAGCCATTTCCAAAACAAAAACTGATTTGGGAGAATTCCAAAAATGATTGATTCATTCAACAATGATGTAAAATAATAACTACTGCAATAAAAAGTTAAAAAATAATTAATTCAAATATTAAACTAATAACCAACTACTCCCTCTCATTCTATTTTTCTTTTCCTATTTTACTTCTCTTTCTTCTTTCTCTCTCCTACTTCTCTCTTCACGTTCTTCTTCTTCTTCTTCCCTTTTCTTCTTCTTTCACGTTTTCTCTTTCTTCTTCCTTTTTCTTCTTCTTCTTTTTCTTCTTCAAATATAAATGCCTAAAGAATAAAAAAAATAATTGATAAAAAAATGTAGATACAAAATTTATTTCAAAGTAGGTGGTTGATTGAGCAACCACAAAAACAAAAAAAGAAAACACACATCTTACCATATCTGTGAATCATGTAACACAAGAGAAAAATAACAAATAAAAAATAATAAATTTTTGTGCAACAACAACAAAAAAAACAACATAACACTTATGAAACAACATAAAAAAAATATTAAGAATTAGAACTATTGTCAGAATACACAATTTAATAACAAAAATATCAAAATAAAAGAGAATGTAGAATCTGAAAATCATTTGTGTACGAACACCATTCTTTTTATTCATCCGTAAAAATTACAGTCAAAATGACTTGGTCACTTATTTATACTTACACGTATGCACGGATACATTTGATAGTAAGAAAGAAACGACGTCGTACAAAGTAAGGTAGAAACGACGTCGTGTACACTAATATCTCACTTATTTCTAATCCTGATATTAAACGAACAAAACAGAAATTAACAAAAGATCACCATTCCTACAGCCCCCCCTCAAGGTGGGCGTGGGGAGATGCAAACCATGCCCAACTTGACGAGCAAACTCTGAAACTGAGAACCTGTGAGCAGCTTCGTAAAAATGTCAGCACACTGCAGTTGAGAAGGGATGAACATAGGAGTGACAAAACCAGTCTTGAATTTATCCCTCACAAAATGACAATCAATTTTCAAATGTTTAGTACGCTCGTGAAAGACGGGGTTGGCACAAATATGAAGAGCGGCCTTATTGTCACACCACAAAGGCACAGGGAATGACAGAACAAGATGAAAATCCTGTGCAACATAACTAATCCATAGCAACTCAGCCACTAAAGAACTCATGGAACGATATTCTGCTTCAGCAGAAGAACGAGACACGGTAAGTTGCTTCTTACTTTTCCAAAATATAAGAGCACCACCCATGAAGACACAATAACCAGTGATGGATCGCCTTGTATCCTTACAGACAGCCCAATCGGCATCACAAAAAGCATGAAGCTCTGTAGATGGAACAGATGGAAAATGCAGACCCAAAGCTGAAGTGCCTTTCAAATACCGCAAAATATGCAAAGCAGCATCCCAATGTGAGCTAAGAGGATTAGTCACAAATTGACTAAGCTGTTGGACAACATAGGTGACATCAGGACGAGTCATATTGAGATAAAGCAACTTGCCAATAAGCCTTCTGAATTTTTCTGGTTCATCAAGAGGTAGGCCGTCAGCCATAGTTAACTTTAAGCCATGTGGAAGTGGTGTGGACACACTCTTGCAGTCCAGCAAGCCTGTATCACCCAACAAATCCAAAATATACTTCCTCTGACTAAGGAGAACACCCTCAGCATTCCTTGTAATCTCAACACCAAGAAAGTATTTTGTAGGACCTAAGTCTTTAATGGTGAAGGCAATATCCAAAAACCTTTTTAATTCATGAATCAGCAAAGCACTTGAACTGGTGAGTAACACATCATCCACATAAACCAAGAGAGCCAAAAAATCCTTCCCTTTCTTCATAGTAAACAAACAGTGATCATATTTAGATTGGATCAAACCAAAACCAGAAAGTTTGTGGCATAATTCATTGTTCCACTCTCTGGATGCCTGCTTAAGGCCATATAAGCTTCTAATTAGCTTACAAACCTGCCCAGCTTTAGCTTTAAAATACCCAAGTGGTGGCTTCATATAGACCTCTTCGGACAAATGCCCATGT